AACAAGAAGATTAAAAACGAACACAAGGTAACTGTAGTAAAACTACCTACTAAATCTAAGGAAGGAAAAAGAACAAAAGAACAACAAAACAAAAAGTGCAAAAGAAGAAAAAAGTTGAAGAAAAAATAGGAAAGAAAAAAGATATAAAGAAGAGGTTTCCAATATTCTTCACAGGAGTTATAAGCATAAATATATTTTAATTTCTCTCTCTAAAGTCACATTTTATTACTTTTCTTTCTATAATCTATTTTGTCTAATTATCAAAACCATAAATCACAAATTCGCTTTTTTATTTTTTACTTATGATGTAGTAGTTAAGACACCAGGCTAGAAAGAGGGGGACTGTGAGTTCAAGTTCTGCCTTACCCATAAAAGCCAGCTGGGTAAATTTGGGTCAGGCACTCTCTCTCTCAGCTCAACCTACCACTCAGGGTTGTTGTGGAGAAAATAGGAGGAGGAAGGTGTGTTGGATATATTTGCCACCTTGATTTATTTGTAAAAATAATAAAAAATAATAAAGGCAGAATATAAATAAATAAATAAATAAATAAATAAATAAATAAATAAATAAATAAATAAATAACGCTTCCAGTCACGAATCAATAATGTCTTTTCTCTATTCAAAAAAGTCAATTTATCAAAAAAATAAATAAAATTTGCAACTGCTCATTATTAAAACAAGAGGAGGACACAGAAACTTGACATTGTAATAACCTTGGGTTTGGAGTACTGTGATAGCAGCTGCTACCTAATAATCTACGATAGCAAAAAGCTAGCATTAATCCACTTATATTCACTTTCGATGTAATGGTTAATCCATTTGTATACTCTTCTTATGGTAAAAGAGCCTGATCCCTGTTATTACGGATCGATTATATCATCAGAGCAAATCAGCCACCGATATGGGGAGAGAGCTTGTAAAAAAGTGGCTGTTATAATGATTATCTCTCCAGTGCTTGAGGACTGAACACTGGAAACAAAGGCATGTTTATTAAACTACAGTGAAAGGCAACTCTTGTTACTACATCTAGTGTTCCAAAATTTAAAAACAATGTAATAAATAAAGTATTATGCTACATATCAAAATCCCAAAAAACTCCACCCCTATTTCCAGACCTGTATAAGTACACTGTATTTCAGCTCACAACAGAAATTCAAACAAAAAAATCAAAATTTTATACAAAGTTTATTCTTACAAGGAATAAGAATATAAATGTCATTTTATTATAATCTCTAAGAAAAGTGGAGTTGTGATTTCCTTCCATTCATGTTGACAAGAAGAGATGTCTATTAGATTGGATCTGGACTCATCCATACATAGAACAGATCTATTGCAATTCCGAGCAATAATTATTACAAGCCTACATCTCATTTATTTCACTGGATTTAAGACATAGACAATAGATTTTTGTATGTTTTACACTTTCTTATGTTTAAAAAAAACTATTAGGGAAATTTTATGAACTATTTAGAAATATTATGCATGCCATGTAAAGGTATATTGGTACATTACCAAGAGGAGATATTGGCTGTAGGCTGGGAGTATTTTGGCCGAGGCCTTATAGCAGTGGTGGCGAACCTATGGCACGTGTGCCAGAGGTGGCACTCGGAGCCCTCTCTGTGGGCACACATGCTGTTGCCCCAGCCTTGCCTTCACCCATGACCCCCTCACCAGCAGCCTCCCTGGAAGAGAGTCGCCCCTGAGCGTGGCCCACGCAGAGCAGCGCAGCCAAGCACATGGCAGCTGAGCAGCAGGGGCAAGTCTCCGCCCTCGTGCCCCATCATGTGCAGATGCTGCTGCTGGGTGCAGGCGGAGGGCGTGGCCACCATGGTGCTGCAAGGCTGCCTGGGCGATCTGTGGTGAGTGGCCCTGTGGGTGGGCGGAGCGGGGGGCGGGCTGGTTTTTGGGCACTCGGTCTCTAAAAGGTTCACCATCACTGCCTTATAGAATGCAGAATTATTTTTATATTTTTTATTCTTCTGGTTGATATTAATGGAAGGCAGTAAAACCAAACCTGAGCTGCAATGAAAGTAAAACTGGCAACTTCCTCGTCAAGTTACTCTATCCATTGTTATAGTAGTGCCCAGGCCAGATTTTATATTGTTCACATAATTTTAACATGCCATCCAGCCCAATGTGATTTACAATGCAAAAAAGGCTTAACTTGACCCACTTTCACAGCCAGTTATAGTCAGGTGCCTAACAAGTTATATTTAGAAATGTGCAAAAAAAAGAGTCTTGCTGGGTTAGATCAAAGCCCTAGCTAGACTACAGCAATTTTTCCCACTGTGGCTAACCAGATGCCTCTGGAAATATTCCTGTAGATCACTATAAAAGCTATTATACAGCAAATGATTTATACTTGTCGTTTACACATACTTAGTTGTTTAATCGGAAGAAAAGATGAACTCCTATGCTCCACGTATCCTGTTTCATATTGTAGAGCTGTTCCACGTCACCATTTATTCAAGTGATGCAGAATCAATTCATCTGAAGCTCATGCAGAATTGGTTTGCTCTTCCAAAGTCCTAAAAAAGCTGTGAAATATTTAACTAGGAAGTTGTTTAAGAAAAAAATAAACTTTATTTTTCAGATGAAAGAAAATATCAATTGCATTTTCAGTAGTAATATTCCTTGCCCCATACTCAATTTTTAGGACACCTAGCCAGCCTTGTCAGAGCTCAGAGGGTAAGCAGGTAGATTCTTAGGCAGGAGACCACCATGGAATTCCAGCCCAAAGTTTTCCAGCTTTCAGAAGGGCATATATTTTATCTCAGCTGTATGTGCTGTATCTATAGTAATAATGGTGGTCACTCTGGTATGCAAAATGCAAATAAAAAGTAGAGAGGCAGGATTGTTTAAGGAAATTACTTCACAACCTATGTGATAAACTCCTAAAAAAAATATCCGGTTCAAATTTCATATTAGTCATAGTGAGGACCAGTTCATACTGAAAAACCGGATTAACAACTTTTTGGCATGACTAACTATAGGGTTTAAGTGATGCAAAGGATCTGTATGATCACAAGCAAAAAAGAAATATGATTGGTACAGTTGATTAGTGCAGTAGTGGGATTCAAATATGTGAACAACCGGTTCTCTGTGTGAATGCCGCTTCCGGAAGTCCATTCTGGGCCTGGGCAACAAAAAATTAGCTACCGGTTCTGCCAAACTGGTGTGAACTGGCTGAATCCCATCACTGGATTTGTGTCTTTATCAGTTGATTCTGTTATACTGGATAGATGCTTCTTTACTGTATGGATTGAGAAAAAATAACTGAATTTCAGGAAACGGATGGTGTATAAAACTCTGTTTGTAACATTACATCTATGATGATACTCCATTTCTATAGGAAGGTCAATACCTGCTTTTGCAGTCATTATGGCATGTGTTGAAACCAGAGAAACGTGCTGAGAATTTATTCTTGGATTACAATCGTCCTAATTCTCCCTATCTTGATCTGAAGGAATATCCAAATTGTAGGCAGATAAATGTAATAAATTGTTCTTGGCGTAATTTCAGAGAGCAGACAATATCAAACTCCTGAAGAAGTTATGAGGCTTTTCAATTGCTTATTGAAAGAAGAAAAAGTTACTATCTGTCCTTAACCTGGTCCTTCAGATGTTCCACCAATGCACCCAATCACCACTGTAACTGAGTCCATTCGCCTTTCTGTTAAGTTATCCTCTTCTTGCAATTCCTCCCCAGAATTAGTCTTCTCCAAAAACCTGGATGTTCACGTAATGTGTTCAAAGTAGGACTATTTGGGCCTGAATACTTGTTCCTCGAGTAAGAGGAATGACTTGTTTGATGACTGACCCATTTGGGTTTTCTTGGCCTTAATACAGTACTTATTACACTGATCAGTTAGCCCTACTCCTCCTGCCTCCATGCGTGAATGCAGTAGAGCTGGTTCCTTTCTTTCTCACACTTGCGTGAATGCCTTTATTAATCAACAGTAAAGTGCCTATTTTTCTTGCCACATAACTTTCCCATCTGAAGGATGCTAGGCAAAGGGCCTGTTGCGCATGCCTATGCAGCAACCGAGGGCAGTACGAATTGGCCCGTTAGGCCTCCGAGCGCTTCTCGATTGGAGCGTCCCCCCCCCCTCCATTGCAACGAGCTGCCTTGGGCTGTTCTCGCATCGAGATGGAAATTGCTTGGGGCGGGGGGGGGGGGGAGAGAGAGAGAGACTAAAACTGGCGTAGAACAAGCACGTTGTAAGTCCGCCCGCAGCCTCTGGAGGGCAGCACTGGGCGGCGAACTTCCTTCGGCGTCCAAAGCAACCTCTTCTTATTGCCCGCCAGCAGCGCGGGTGCTGTTGAAGTTGCCCCCAAAGGATCCGGAGCGCTGCGCCGCTGGGCCCAGAGACCTTTGCTCCCGCGGGGCTGGGGGGAGGGGGAGGGAGAAGCCCGCGGGCGAGGAGGAAGCCCGCGGGCGAGGAGGAAGCCCGCGAGCTCCAGGTTCTCTCCTAAGCTTCAATCCGCGTCCGGGCGTGAACCGATCCTTCCCTCCCTTCCGCGGGGCTGCCTTGGCGGCGCCTTTCCTCCAGGCCGGGCTTGCGCTCCGCCTCGGGAGAGAAACCCCGACCGGACCCAGCGCTTCGAGTTCCAAAGCGGCGCCCCGCTCCCTTCCCCGCGTTGACAGGCGGCGAAAGCGCAGCCCTCCCCTCTTGTACGTACACCCAGACTGCGCGCCTAGCCCCAGAGCAGGCACGGCAGTAGCAGCCAGCAGGCGAAGGAGCCAGCGGCGTCGGTGCAGAAATAAGGTGGACGCGCGGCTTCCCGCACAGGCATCATGTGGGTCTGTTGGTAAGAGGGGTGGGGGGGACCGATCCCCGCTCCTCCGCCCTCTCCCCTCCTTCGGCACGCGTAGCGGCACCCGCTCCGACGAGACAAGAGGAGACGAGGCAGCCCCGGAGGCCGCGGGGAATAATCGGAGAATTGATTGTGAAAAAAAAAAAAAAAAGAAAGCAGAAGAAGAAATATTTCCTGGCAAGATGGCCGACTTGGAGGCTGTGCTCGCCGATGTGAGCTACTTAATGGCAATGGAGAAAAGTAAATCTACTCCGGCGGCTCGAGCCAGCAAGAAGATCATCCTACCTGAGCCGAGGTGAGCTGGGGGCAGGTGTGGGGCGCCGTGGAGTTGGCCCCGGTTGCCTGCCTGTCTGTGCGTGTGAGTGCGCGGGCGCGTGTATGAACGTCCATCTGTCTGAGAGCGCTCTTGAAATTAACCGTGCCAGCTTCGCTCGCCTCTTCTGTCCTCAAGAGGAAAAGATGGGAGAAGGAATAGCTCCTTTAAATGTCACCTTTCCTGTTCTGTGTTTTGGGTTACTACCGTGGGCAATAGGAAGGGGTATCACGTGTCCCCATTCGGCCCAATTTGAGGGGCATTATTCCTTACAACAGCAGACATCCTGGTCCTCATTCACAGAATAACAAGCCTCTTCCCCAGGACTGCCGTTTTCCTTATCTGCTTGTCACAGTCCCCTCTTTTGTTTCTCATGTATGTGTAACAAGCTGTTATTAATCTCTGCAGAGAGGCAGGCTGTATAAAATATATGCTTTTCTGAGCCATCCAGCATCTGCTCCTCTGTGTGCTCCAGAGAGCATGCATTAAGGCTGTACCCATGTTCAGATAGCCTAGCCACTTGCATATGTTTATGCTGTATTCTGTTCAGGGAGTGGACCCTTGTCACTTGTTCACAAGAATCTCGTCTAATGCAAACTTAAATACAAACGGTTACGTCTATATTTCTTTAGCACTGTGGATTGGAAATGGGATTGCACTTAGGCGCTCGTGCCCCTTGTTACTCTAAACTTAAATGGGAATTAGAGCTGTACAAACAACATTGCAATCCTGTGCAAATCCTTTGCAAGGTCACCAAGGTGCAGTTTTTCTCAAAACAAATAAGGAGGAACGCATTTGGTAGAAGATTTGCTTCATGTAAGGATTTTACTGTCGGGTGACACCAAAATGGTCTTGGCGCATAAAATCCAAGGGCCACAATTTAGTTTGGCCAACCCTTAACTCGCTTCCCAGCAGCTGTTACCAAGGGCAACTGGGTTGGGCCTGACAGGCATTTTGCACCGACAGCACATAGGGAAGTGCAGGCTGTCTTCTATTCTCCCTCTTACCTCCCTCTTCTTCTGCCAACCTCCATGTGACATCTGGCCTATTCTGCTCTACTCCATCTCATCCAATAACCTTGGGTTTTCTCAGCTGAGGCCGATGGCTACTCAGACACAGCTTCTCTCCACTCCCCTACCATTGAAGGGTGGATGAATGGATAGTCTCTGAAATAAAGCAAAAAGCACCCTTGGAGGGTAAAAATGGCAGCTGCTCTTTTAGAAGATGAAGCAGATGTGTAACCATGGCAATGCTTGAAAGACCCAGGAGCCTTTGTGTTCTTCACATGCTGCTGGTTTCAATATGGAAGTAGTTGCCCACATGGGAACTTTAGGTGCTGTTCCACAGTCTTGGAAGAAAAGAATCTTAAAGCAGGGAGAATCAACCAGCAGCCTCTACCCTTCATCCCCAACTTGGATAGTAACACTTCTCTGGCAACTCTCTTGGCTAAGTCAGAGCCATACAGAATATTTCTTTATTAATCCAATTTATATAGCCACCCATGTCACTGGAAGTGACTCTGGGCGGCGTACAATAATTTAACAGGAATTGCAGAATTAAATTATATTTATGCTCATTTAAGTATCAATTCTCGAACTTTGCACTAATGGTATTACTAGTGGCATGTTCCCATTTACCTTTCTCTTCTAAACTCATTAGAAAAGTCTTCAGTTTTGTCAGTCTTGCAATCTCCTTGATGTAGAAGCATGGGAGACAGATGATCTTAAGTGTAGATCTAAATACAGAAGGAGGCACCAACAAGGTTTTCATTTTAGGTTGTCCTAAAAAAGAAAAAATTAAAAGGCCAAACTTCTAATCGGTGAAGCAAGACCCCAAAAGACGATTAGGAGTTGAAGAAGCCTGCAGAATAGTTTTGTCACAGTCAGAACAGGAGCTCTACTGGAGAATTCCCATCAGATGGAATAATGAAGGTTAGGGTTTGCAGATTCAGGGATGTAATTTAAATGTCTTCTGAAACCAGATATTGGAAATGCTTCAAAGAGGTAGGCCTTGGACATAATTCAGCCTTAAATCACATTGCAGAAGAAAGCTTATTCGTAGAATTGTTTTATGCATATTTTATTTTGCTTTGGGCAATCACGGATAGGACATAACATGTCAGAAACTGTTCTGATATTTAACGAGTCTTTAAATATCTAGATTGTCTTTGTAGATCAGAAAATATGCTAAATAGTTGTCTCCTGTATTAATTTTTGTGATTGCTTTGCTTGATGTGATCTTGGTTTGTCAAAACTGACAGTGTCACATTTCTGAAGGCCACAATGTTAATTATCAAGCACCTAGATACGTGTGATTTATGGGAACTGCTGGCAGTGAGGACCCTGCACACACTCTTTTCATAAACATTTCTCCATGGATAGTTGACCCATATAGCTTTCTATTGTTTTTTCTTTGTTTGTTTGTTTGATCTGCTTTGTGAAATATGAGAATTACTGTTTTCATTGTGAAAATTGGAAAGCCACAGCACTAAGAATCTTGTGATTTATTTATTTATTTATTTAATTTTTATTGCACCTCAACTCAAGACGGTGTTAGGCAATATACATTTTTTTATAAACAAACCGTTGCTTTAAAAACAGTGCTGGCTTTTGGATCAGCACTGTTTTTATTTTAAACAAAGGGATACTTTCAGAAGATATGTGAACAAGTGGACAAGAAAATTACGGAAGTTATACAATTAATGCACAGGATAACATTAATGAAGGTTAACCATACCAAATGAAGTACATTAAAGTTTTTTGATATGAAAAAATATAAATCACTGAGCTTAACGCCAAATCTCCACTGTAGTGTTATCTGTGCATACTAAAAAATAGAAAAACCACTAAAAATAGTATAGATAAGTATTTGATTTCTGAATTCCCCCTTCTTTGCACTTTAAACAGTTTACAGTATTTATAAACATAGATGTAGAAACTATGCTCCTAAGTGTTTGTACTTACTTGCTGTCTGATATATCGTATATATATATGAAAATCATTTTTCTTATATTTACTACATTTCTTTTATGTATATATATATATAGTTAATTTTGCTATTGCTATGTATTCTCCAAGTTTTGAGTTCCCAAGGAGATATCTTTGGTACTATGTCTTTTTTCCAGTGTTGTACAGAGTTTCTCCTCACAGACCTGAGTGTATATATATATCTTAATGAATTATGGTGTTTTTCATTGGTATGTTCTGAAATTATACATAATAAAAAGAATTGTGGTTTATTTTCGAGTTTGATTTGTGAGATATTCTCTGAATGGTTGTGTGTATATTTTCCAATCCTCTTTTTTATGGCGAAGGGAGTGGTTACATGTCCTCAATATGTGATATTGGGGCAGTATTTCTATTCTCCCGATCTGGGGTAAAAATTCTGCCTAAGATTGGAATACAGGTATAATTCGACTTATAACAACAATTGGGATCAGAATATCCATTTCTAAGCAAGATGGTTATTAAGCGAATTGCACCTTTTACAATCTTTTTTGTCATGGTGGTTAAGCAAATGACTGCAGTTAAGTGAATCATAGGGTTGTTAAGCAAATCCAGCTTTGCTTGTCAGAATCCAGCTGGGACAGTTGCAAATGGCAATCATATGATCCCGGGATACTGTAGCTATCATAAATACATGTGTCAAGCTTGCTGATTTCCAAGCGCCTGAATTTTGATCATGTGACTGGGGGTTGCTCCAACGGTCATAAGTGCAAGAACTGGTTGTAAGTCAGTTTTTTCAGTGCTATTTTAGCTTTGGCTAGTTGCTAAATAAATGGTTGTAAGTCGAGGACTAACTGTAATAGATGGAGGACAAAGAACAGAGTAGACAGAAAAGCTGCGGAGTAGATGATGCTCATTAGTATAGTAGACATTTTATTCTTTTTTGTCTGTATATTCTTTGTTATGCTTGTTCTTGATATTCTTGAAAATATTTGAAGTCTTAATCGGTTCATGGTACCCTTAATGTCTCATTTTTTTTTCATATCACCCCTAGACTCGTAATTTCTATGGCATTTGACAGATATTGAGTATTGAGTATTACCCGTGTAGCGTCTTGGGTCTTTGGGAACTTTGGATCTGTTGAGCTACTTTAGAGCAAGATACAGTGACATGGCCTCAGCCACACCGTGAATTTTGTAACTGATTATTGAATCCAAATTTCTCGCCATCCATTTTCTCACTATTCTGGCTCATAAATCACACAATATTAATAATTTAGACAAGGAAATTGCTGTCATAATTGCAAGAGATAATGTTCAAAATTATTCAGAATCATACAGTATTGGTCTCTTGAGAAAGCAAACTCAAAATTTTACCGGTTACATTGAATTCTACTTTATGCCAAGAAAATCAAAATTGTGCAAATAGTCCCTCTTGAGCAATTACCTTGTGTGGTGGGCTTTTCACTACAACTGTTCCTCCAATTGTACATCCTACTAATGTATTTGGCTACAGTTCCCATACTTTACAGCAGCTGTGACTATAGGGCATGCTTATTAGGAATCATGGAAACTATAGTTCAACACGTACAAAGAGTGGACAAGGTTGGGCTATATCAGAATGCAGAATTGGCACAGCAGCCTTTCATAATTCTAATTATGGAACAGTTTCATCCGCTTTCAGTAGATCCTGATATTCTGCAGTTCCTGCCTTAGCAACATTGAATCTGTCCCTTCAAGTGTTGTTCTCACATCACTTCCAACTAGAATCGAAGAATCATTGCAGTTTTCAGGAAATGGTATCTCCTCTGGTTTTAAACCCGTTGGATCTTCTACAACAGAAGCAATTGCAACACAGACCAAGAGTTGTAGCAATCTAGATCTCGTTATTTGCGGCAACCACTTGATCAATGTCTTGCAGGTTGTACACAGATGCTAGAAATTTGTTACTATAACATGGGTATAGCATTTTTGAGAGGGCAGAATTTAGCATTTTATGCGGAAAGAGAAGATTATAAAACAAGTAATAAAACTTTCCTTATCTATTTGTTACTAGTGGAGTGTGTTGGTTTTTTTCCTGTTAAGGGAAGCAGGCTATTTTCTATGCATTTATTTCCTTTTTCTGTGATTAGTCATGGCAGGGGCCCTCGTCCATTGCTGTGCTTTGACCCCCTAAATGATAAATGAATTTGCATGACCTCCTTGGATAAAATTATCATTTTTAGTGTGGTTGGGCAATGAATACAACATTTTTAAGAAATGCTTTTTCATCTATCAAATAATAAAGCAAATGATAGCACTTTATAAAACAAAAACATTTCATTGCAAATAACAATTTACAATCTTATTTTTGATAAGAAGGATGATCTTTGCGTAATTCCTGAAGTTTTTATTTTTAATATAGCCACCTTCCTTTGTAGTAGCATTTATTCTTGATCAATAATTGATCTTTATTACACCAACTGTAGAAAATTCTGACTCTGTGAAGACAGAACAAGATTGAGTTCGGTTTTATGTATGCGTGCCGTGAGCCTTGCACACCTAAAATTAGAGACATGTGAAAATTATCTCCAGATTTTGGTAGTGTGATTTTTATAATTTGGGTCAAAATGTGGGAGGTCCACGTTCAAGTCTGTTCTTAGCCTTAAAAGCCCATTGGGTGAATTTAGGCCAGTTATTATCTCTTAAGGCACTTTTTTTTTAGAGGGGTGGTACAGTATTGTAGGGAAACAATGAAACGGCCATATAAGCTATTTGGGGCTCTTAAAGGCAAGATGAGGTATAAATTTAACAAAAGAGTAAGTTCCCTGCCAGTGTCTCCTAGCAGAGCAGGAGCAAATTTTGAAAGTGATCCAGTTTTTAATACACAGAACTGAGAAATGTGCAAAGCTGGAGCTCTTTCAAGGTATGCCTGCACTTTCCTCACTACCTGTTCAGCGAGGGAACCTGCTGGCTTACCCAGGCAGAGCAAGAGCAAATTGTAATAATGATCCAGATTCAAGTGCAAACTGGAGGAAGTACAGAGTTGGCAACTTATCAGAACTTGCTCCAAGTTTCCTTGGAAAATCTGGTTGCCAGTTTATTTTGAGTGAAAGGGAGCATGTTTGATAAGATCCATTTTGGATGTGCAAACAAGTGTACTTGCAAAACTAGAGTTGTTGGCCTGTCCTGACAAAACAACAGCAAAATTTTATTTATCACATTTAGAAACATCTCATCCTCCTCACAGATAGATCTGGGTGGTATATAAATATATCTGGCAAAAATCCTGGTTTGCCTGCACACAAACCTCAGAAAAGTTGTACACTTTTTCCGTAAGGTACAACTTACACTTTCAGAGCACTTGAGTTAATGAGTCAGTACTGAAGTTAAATTCAGTGTTTTGTCTTCCAGTCCAAAAAATATTTTTAACAGCAGCTCCGATATTCAGGGTTATTTGCAAGTAATTTCCTATTTCCTTCCCAATGGCCTATATGCGAGTAAAAGCATTTTCAACATCTGGCTGATTATTTTTAGTATGGTAGTAACTACCTCTCATTAAGTGCCTGTACTAGAAGAATTCAAGGGAACTGACATTCTCAGTAGCCTTTGCTATGCTCTATAGCTTTATTTTACTAAGAAAAAATTGAGACAAGAATCAGTACTAGGATCAGATTCCTAAAACTTTTGTAATTACCATTAAACTTTATCAGCAAATGCTCACCTTTTGCATTTCAGCAGTTGTCACTGAAAGAACTATAACTGGTTTCCCCACTAATGTGAACTTACTAGAAACTAGGAGTTTCTCCCCTAGCATGTTTTTTTGTTAACAATTTGTGGTTCCAACAATCTTCCTTAAAACTTTTCTGGCTGGCTAGGGAATTCTGGGAGTTGAAGTCCACATATGTTAATGTTGTTAAGATTGAGAAACACTAGTTTACTTTGGTTTACCTCAGGAAGTTAGGCAAGCTTGTTTCTGTGTTCCAGCTCAGCATATTGAGCACAAAGTAGCTGTATAGAAGCTAAAACTTCTGTACATAAATGGAGTAATGATTGTACATTCAGAATCTAACCAGAGAACCATAGGCATAATTACTGTAATAAGGCATGTTAAATTAGATTTAGTTATGAATTATAGGTGTTAGGAATGCTGCCTTGGCATATTTGTGATAGATTAAGATATGTTGCACCTTCTAAGACGGATACGTTCTTTTCATAAAAAAAACCATCCATCTAACATAGTTTCAGATTATACATAATTCTCAAAGACAAAAAATCATGAAATCACATAGTTTTAGCATAAACATGGGTAGGTGACATTGTTGAAGCTATTGAGGAATTTTTACATACGGTAATTTTAAGACTGAAATAGGAGATGCTAATGCAGATTTTCTCATTTTTAAAAATAAAAAAATGAACACTCAGATAGTTCGGAAATCCAGCTGTTCTCTATGAGGGGGAAAAATTGTACCACAGAAGCAGATATTTACAGAAGAAATAAGGCCTTGGATCATCTCAAAAAGATTGCCAAAGTTTAAAATTAGAGTTTCAATACTTCGTAATACATTAACTCATCATGTCTAGTTAATGCAGAAACTATTATACAGTAGTATGTTTTCCAGATTGCCACCTAAAAATCTTGCCAACTCATCATTGAGATACCTTTGTAACTTGACATTTCTGGCTCATTTTCAGCCCAAATATACTCTGTCCCAATATCATGTTTGGCAATTTACATCTTCCTTACAGATACTCTTTGATTTAAGACAACAGTAGGGAGAGGAATTTTGGCCACCAACAGTGCAGTCATTAAACGAGTCATCATATGACTACCCCATTTTATGATCATTTTTACTGTGGTTGTTTAAGCGGATCACATGGTTGTTAAGCGAATCTGGCTTTCCCAATTAACTTTGCTTGTTGGAAGCCCATTGGGGAGGTTGCAAATTGTGATCATGTTACTGCAAGACACTGCAACCATCATAAAAGCAAGCCAGTTGCCAAACACTTGAATAGCAATCATGCTACTGCAGGGGTGGTGGGGTTACTTCAAGAACAGGTCGTAATTCATTTTTTAAGACTGTCATAACTTCAAACTATTGCTAAGCAGTTGTAAGTCAAGGGATCATTTCTTTTGATAAACTACTTAGAAAAATGAACATGGTTCCAGTGGAATATGTCCCCAGTTTGCTTTTACACATTTGAAAGAGGTAACCCTAAATATTTTATTTTGTTGAAAATTAATCTCTCAAATCTAGATACCATTCTAGAAATGCCACATTTTCTTTATAGTAAGTATCTACTGACTAAATGTTAAAAGGGTGTGACAGAGTACATTGGAGCAGGCATCCGTGTGCCTCCTTACCTGAGACTTATACTGTATTTTCCTGGGATTGCACAGTTACTGTATACACCCAAGAAAAACATAGGTACTTTAAGGAGACATCTATAAATACATTCATTTCCAGTGTGGGACACTTTTTCAGCCTCAAAACTGAAATATAGTACATCCCTATTGCAAATGTACAATTTCTTTTTTATGTGCAAAAGAGGAACAGCATTCTTCTTTAAAATTAAAACAAAATAGCTAGTACATGAGTGGTCAAATATTTTCTGTTGAAGATGATTAAAAAGTTTTTCTTAATCTAGTGCTCTCTAGATATTTTAGACTCGAGCATATTGGCTAGACGACAATTTGTCAATCACATTTGGAGAAGTCTCTTTAAGAAAACTAGTACCAAGGTAGACATACCTAATCTGTTGTAGAGTCTTCTCAGTATCAGCAATACTAAATTTATATAGTTTCTAAGATGCTTTGGGGAAAATCTTTGGAGAGCTAGAAAGATGTTTCATAATTAACTTCCCTTGTGTGCCTTCTCTTGGCAGCATCCGCAGTGTTATGCAGAAATACTTGGAGGATCGGGGTGAAGTCACCTTTGACAAGATATTTTCTCAAAAGATTGGTAAGTATTAGAACCTTTGCCATGGCTATAGGTTCAGCTAGATACATTACCTAAAGCAAGGAAAGTTCAATGGAATTGGAAATATGCAGAGCTGCTTACTCAGTGGCTGCAGCATGACACAATGAACTGTAAATTACCCAGGCACTTTTTAGCTTAACACAGTGTTTCTCAACCTTGACAATTTTAAGGCATGTGGACTTCAACTCCCAGAATTCCACAGCCAGCAATGCTGGCTGTGGAATTCTGGGAGTTGAAGTCCACATGCCTTAAAATTGTCAAGGTTGAGAAACACTGGCTTAACATATTATGTGAACTGTGCAATTACCTTATGGTTAAATGTGATTGTGTTTGCGTAACAAGTTGAACTACATATAAAGTCTAAAACTGAATCAACAAATGGCATTGTATGGTAGGATGTTGCATGAAGCAAATCATCACCTTAAGCTATAAAGTAATTTTGTTATGGCATAACATATCGTGTGAACACATCCAGTATGGGTTGCTAACCATGATTTCAAGTTTAGAATGATTTGCAAACAGCCTGAATTGTGCAATCACAGCTTAAGTTGCCTTGAATAAACAAGTTAGGCAAACACAACCAATATATAGTTTTGGTTGTTAGAACTCAAGCTTCTGACCTGAAATCAGTTAATCTAGCTATGCACTTTTTTTGTTCAGTTTTTATTTCAGTTTTCATTCAACAGAATTTTTATGGTAACAAACACATACCTGATCAAAATAAAAAGTGAAAGGGAAACTCATCATACAAATTGAAAAAAAGTTCTATCCTTTGATTTGGGGAGAAGATCTTAGTTTTTTAAGTCACTGCTACAGTTTAGGGCAGCCTTTGCCTTCCATGATGGCCACTTTTAACAAGTCTCTTGCCTCCCCTGTCCTGATGATCCTTTCGATGAGGATTACAAGTTCCATTGTCTTAATAGGCATGGTAGGGCTGTCCCAAGATGCCTACTTGCAAAGGAAACTGATGTTTTGTATCTTGAAAGTTGTATGAGAGAAAGGTAGGATGTATTGCACCATAGAACCGCAAACGGGGACAAATACTGTACCAGGTAAAAAAAAGTGATGCCTTACTTAGAGAAATCCATTCAGCCTGATAGCATTGCCTTCCATATTGATGCACAGCAAGCCGAGTCATTCAAAATGAGCTTAAAGCCTCTGTTAAAAAGGGAAAAAAACGGAGAAGAGAATAAATAGCTGAAGTCGGCAAAGAAACTTGCTTCCTCTTGTCCTCATTACAATGGTGTCTGTTTCCTCTTCCATTAGTTTGGGAAAGTGCTTGCTTCACTTGATAAATATTGATGGTGTTTGCATGACAATGCTTATCTGTGCTAACTATCATTTACTTGATTAAGTCACCCAGTTTTCTGGGTTCTCACAGCAGTTCAGATTTACATGACATACCAGGCTAGTTTGTAGCATGTCAAGTCATGCACATTCTGCTGTTGGAAGGGAAAAGCATTTGAAATACCGTATCTGGGTTGGAAATACATGAAGATGCTTTTCCTCTTGGAATTCCATGACTGTAGATTATGCACAAGCATAACCTTTATAGGTGCCTGTGCTTTTAAGAGTTGCACAGCAAGCAGAATATTTCTCCCTGCAGATTTTTCTCTTCACTGCAGTCAACAGAAAATCTGCACTGGAGGAAATTTCTTTTCTGCCGTTCTTAAAGGTGCAAGAACCTTTAGGAATCAAAACTGTCAGCCTTTTCTTTCAGAATGTCTGTACCATCAACAGATGTGGAAGGAGTAAATATTTCAGCAGGTGAAATACTTGCCTCTATAGAAAGATTGATGGGGAGAATTTGCCTACGAAATTTCTGTTTGTCTTTTGTTGAAGACCCAGGATCCTGCCCAGAATGGGGGGGGGGGGGAGAGTGTGAAACCATTGCATCCAATAGTTCTGTTCTTCTGGAAAAAGGAAGGATCTGTTTGCTCCAGCTATAAATAACTGAGAGAAGAGTATAATTTACATAAAATAAAGTTTCATAAAAGGTACAAAAAACATAAATCTGGGAGTGAGAAGTGGCTGTTGGTGAAGGACTCACTGGGTGATACTGGACTGTCGCCCATGCTCAGCCAGGCAGCAGCAAGTACTCTTAGCAGTGTTTCCCCTTTCCGTTATTACACCCCGCCCCAACAGGAAATGCTCTTGCTTCCTCCCACACCCACGGCCACTTGTGGTTTCCGCATGATATATCCCAATTTTTGCCTATTCTCTCTCTCTCTCTCCTGGTTGTGTTGCTTTCTCAATAATCTTTTAACCTCAGCAATCTCCCCTTGCACTTGGGGGAAGCATAGGCCAATGGGGACACCTGGAACTGTTGAGCCACAAACTGAAATTGAAATTGATCAGCCTGCACTTCAGTGAGTGAGCTGAGGAGGGAACAAGAAGCAGAAGGTGGTGCATGCTATGCTTGAGAAATTTATAAGTGGTGCAGGGATTAATAGTTTTTAAGTATCCAGTTTCATTTGCTCTCTTTCTAACACTGACAGGGTGAGACTCCTGGATTAGTATTTTAAGGTTGGTGAGGTTGGCTTTACATAACACATGAGGTAAAACTGTAGCTTGCTGGTGTATGGTTCAGTGGCTATGTTTGCACAACTCATCTTTAATTAATAGAGCCATGAGTTCAGTTCTCAGTGCACTCCATGGTCTGGTCACACCTGACATACTGAGCCATCAACTAATCGTACGAATTGGGTTTATATAGCAGACTAGGCAACACTCACTAGTTTCTTGTTCAGTATTTTATGTGAACCTAACCTGTATAAATAATTTAGAGCAAGGGTGTCAAACTCGCAACGTCTCGTGACGTGTCGCAACATGTCACGACTTTTTTTCCATTGCCAGCAATGGGGTAGGCGTGGTTTTGCCATGACTCATCCGGCCCACGGGCCGGCTGTTTGACACCCCTGGTTTAGAGTGATGTTTAAATACAACTAGTTGGGTTATTCACTGAATATTAATTAAACAATCCATGGATTAGGATTATTCACAGGTTCTAACATTTTCAAAAATGATACAGTTATATAGGTTAGGAAGCTATAGTTAATCACTTATTGTAATTGATAACTAGCTTTCCAAGTAGCTCTAGGTACGTGCTTTTGATTATTGGAATCTTAGAACATTTGTGACTCATGACCAACAGTTGAAGAGGGACCAACAAGCTTGAGAACTGTCATTGAGATTTTACTGATATTCTGTACATTTAACAAGCATTTGACCTGCAAAAATTAACCACAGGAATATTTTCCTGGCATAAAGATCAAATAATTGAGGAAAGAAAGAAAAAGCAAATCTAATAACATCTTATGATTTTCCACAGTTTTTAATGTAGCCTATAAAACTGAAATTATATGCCTTTTATAGAAATAAAAATATTTAAATGTTTCTTGTTAGAAATCTCAGACTTTTTCTTTCTTAGGACTAGATGTCTGTGGTTTTCGGCTTTGTCTAAACAGAGGCTGCTTGCTACTGGCAGCAATTATCAGATTTTTTTTTTTTATAAAGTGGGCTGATGCCTGATACATAAACAATTCCAAATTTGTTAATTTCTTCCTCTTATATTACTGTTAAAAGACTAGTAGTAGACCTGGGTTGCAAAATTCTGGACGATTGTAAAATGACAAGCTAGCGATACAATATTAGCCAGATTTTTCCAGTCCTGTTCTGGCAACTGTTAAAAATTGCTGCTGATTTACAGAAAAATTGTACACATTTTCATAAAAGATAAATATATTGGCAGGGATAAGCAATGGCAGGTAAGATGAAACCTCCTTTATTTTTAGAGGTAGTAGATCAGTACTTTGATAAATACAGTATGTGGATAGTCATCATTATCATTCATCTTCTGGGATTGTCCACCCAGAGACATGGAGTTCACATCTCATATCAATCCAAATTCTATCGATGATACGGTTTAGTATGCAAACCATTGTTTATGTTTTAGTTTGTGCAAATCAATTGTAGCTTAGTCAAAAATCAATATGGCAATTGTAGATCATTTTATAACCATTTTCAGCATTATCTTATTCTATGTGTTACTCAGTGTCTCCCGGCATATATTAAAGGTAGAAGTAGTCAAGGTCCTTGACTACTAGAAATGATAAATGAGACTAGGAGAGTTTGTTGACTATGTAGGCATATTAGTGGCATATGAGTTTCATATTGCTGACTTTTTGTGTATTTTAGGGTTCCTCCTATTCCGAGATTTTTGCTTGAATCAAGTAGAGGAGGCCAAACCACTGGTGGAATTCTATGAAGAGGTGAGGCACTAACTACAGACAAAGAAGTATTCTAGTATTCAAACATTGTTACCTCCTTTAGCCTAGCTCACAAAGAATACATTACATTTTGAAATGGATAGAGATGTTAGAGACTGTTAGCCTACACTTCCCTTGGGAGGAGGAGGGTATAAGCATTAAGAATGAAATCAAGGTGAAAAGAGTTCCCGAAAAGGGTTAACAACACTGCTAGTGGAATAGATTTTCCTATCCTCGTGCAGGCCCCTCCCTTCATATTTCCCAAGTCTGCTCCTGAAGCTTGGAAGAACCCAGATTTGGGGCCTTGGGTAGTAGAAACCCATTTGCAAATTACTGAACAGAGCCCTTTGCTTTGATAGTCTTTATAGAACAGAATATTGCTTTTATACTTAGGCTTCCTAGAAACAACTAAGAGATTCCAAGCCCCCTTTACATATTGAAGATAATTCGGAGATGAAGTGGCCTTCCTTCCTGAATAACTGGAGTTTTGTTCAAGCAACAGACAAAGGATCCAAAAGAACATTAGATCATAGACCTCCAGCTGCAATTTAGCTAGAATTTTAAATAAACAAGCAGATTGACAGAGCCTAGTAGCTTTGTCAAAATTGTTATCCTCTCAGCAGCAAACTGAGATATAAATCATTGATAATAATAACATTCTGTAAGATGTTGTTGGTTGGAGAATATGATACAGAAAAGTACAAGTATTTATGTATATGTGTCTCATTTAAGGAGCTGGTGATATGTTATCTGGGAATGTTTGTGGTTATAGTCCAATGCATATAGACTCCAGTTTGGGAAAAGCTGATATGCTTCACCTGTCTTAATTAAAAATAAAAATAAATCATAGGCAAGGAAGAGAAGGAGTGGTAATTACTTTTCAGTGCACTGCTGAATTTCTTAATCACAGTTCTTGTCCCTTTGCCTTTCTATCATTATTATATAATTATTGCTTCCACACTGTTTTTGTCATCACTACCACCCCTGTTGTGACCTGCTCCTTCCACTCAAACAAAGTAAGCTAAGAAAATGAATCTTGATGGCCTAGTTCTTAAGCTGAACTTTGGAATTTTTCAGGTTTAGACCGTGGTTATCTGTAAATGTGGCCTTATCTACTGAGCCTTGAATTTTTTGTGTGACAAAGCACATTATCTTACATACCCAATATTATCTTGCCTGTTCTCTCCAGATCAAAAAATATGAGAAGTTGGATTCTGATGAGGATCGAGCAATTAAGAGCCGCCAGATCTTTGACATGTACATCATGAAGGAACTGTTGTCCTGCTCTCACGTGAGTGCTTCGGACACTTGCTGCCATGTGAGAGAGTCCGAAAAGGCCCTTGGGAATGGGCAGAAAGGCCGCTTCATAATCACCTTGAACGAGATCCTTGAAAATGTAAGGCTCCCCAGATTAAGTAGGAGGAGCTAGACCACCATCATGATACCCTCTCACAGGCAAAATACTTTCTATGGGTCACCGAGTGGCACACGTAGTTCTGTTGGAATGGCCTATCCCAGCTCTTAAGCTTTCTCTGTGACCTTTTTTTCCCCTCTCCTGCTGACAAGCAGTGGCTCTTTTCCTGTCCAGGGCTGATCTTGTTATGAATGAACTGCAGGCAGCCACCTAAATAGTTCTTTTTGAAACGCAGTGTTCTTGCAGCAGCAGGCTGATAATTCTTTCTCTCTACTTGGGACAGCTAATTCTGCTCTCTCTTCCTGTTTGTATCAGGTATACCATAACAAACAATATGGAATTGTCTGTTTCCTGTCCTCATCGCACCACATTGACTGTAGAGCAGAGGCCCCCAACCTTTTGGGCATCAGGGACCGGTTCTGTGGAGAAAGATTTTTCTGCAGACCAGAGAGGGTGTGGTTTTGTTGCTGCCTGCATCCCGCGGATGGGGCTTTCCTTGTTTGTGCGGCCCAGTTGCTGGCATGCCGTGGCCCAGTGCTGGTCCATGGACCGGGTTTTTGGGGACCTCTGCTGTAGAGGGATGCATTGTGTAATGGTATCACATCCCATTGTGTCTATATTGGATGTAGGAGGAAGAGGCATAGAAGCATCATAGAATAGTGGTCTCTTCTAATATCTAACTCAGTTATGAGTATCAGATTCCTAATGTTGAAATCAAACAAGAATAAATAATTGATGGACGCTAGTGAGAGCAGTTTCAAAATTCAGGAAATAAGCATTGCAAGATGCTTTTCTTCCTCCTAAAAAGCCGTAACTCAGACATAGAACACCAACTTTGTGTTCAGGAATTCTCAAGATCAGTTCTTGGCAACTACAGTTAAGAGAGTCAAATAGCTGATAATGAGGAAGACTCATTATCAACTTTGTAGACTTTGAGAGAGACTTTGAAGAGTGTTGTCCATCACCCAAAGTAAGCAAAATTAGGCTAGATGGATAAATAAACTAATTTGGTATAAGACACCTTCCCATATAGGTGGGTGGACGAGCATAAATAAGATGTTTTCAAGACTGGAAACAAATGAGAGCTATCAACACAGGAAAATTTTATCTAAGCCACGGGTGTCAAACACACGACGTCACGTGACGTGTCGCAACATATCGCGACTTTTTTCCCATTGCCAGTAATGGGGTGGGCGCGGTTTTGGCGTGACGCATCCGGCCCATGGGCCAGCAGTTTAACACCCCTGATCTAGGCAGTCTGCAGATAAGATAAGGATCCAGAGAGTAAAATAGAATAGATAAAAGTGGCTACCAAACTGCAGGACTGAATGTGGGATAAAGGGACAGTACCTGTATATTTGCCTGACTCCAGCTGATTCTTGTTTTGCATTAGTCTTTCCTAGTTCTCTGTAACCAGCTTCTTAGGAAAAATGCTTTGGCCCTTAGTTCCCTTAGCAAAAGGATACTAAGCGACATGATTAGAACTTAACATTAACACAGAGACAGACAGACAGACAGACAGACAGACAGACAGACAGACAGACAGACAGACAGACAGACACAGACAGACAGACAGACAGAGACCTGCCCTACCAGGTTTTTGTTTATCCTACTAAATTAATGAGCACCTATGCATTAGGCTCACTTGTTTTTCTATATCCTTTACAGCCCTTCTCAAAAACAGCCACAGAGTATGTGCAAACCCGTCTGAGCAAAAAGCAAGTGCTGCCTGACCTGTTTCAGGTAAGTCCCTTTCCACAGATGAAGTCTCTGAGCTCACACAAAATATCATTTGCCCTTGGATTGGGATGCTGCCTTTCCTGGGAAAAACTGCTGAGTGAGACAGATCTGTGCAGCATAATCTGATTTTTCCTCAGTCTGAACCACAGCTTATGACATGCTTTTCCTCATATTGCCACATGTAGAGAAACGTGACTCTGGTAGGGCCCATCTGTTTTACAGGTAGTCCTCGCTTAGTGACTGGTTGTTCAGTGACTATTCAAAGTTATGATGGCCCCCTCCCCAAAGGTACCTATCACCCAATTCTGGAGTTGTGACGGCACATATACACACAGAGAGACATATGTCTGTATTTCAGACACTTGACAACTGGTTTGCCTTTTATAGCCAGTTGCAGTAAGGTCACGTGACAAGATTTACAATGGGGCTTTTGCCAGAAACTAGCCTTTTTGGCCGATTTTCAACAAAAAACATCCATAGGAATACATTGATTTACTTTACAACTATTGTGATTGCTTAACAATTGCCACAAAAAAAGGTCACAAAATTGGGTCTGTCGTGTGGGTGTCTCAGTTTACCACCATCATGATTTACAATGAAATTCTAGGCTCCATTACAGCCATAAGTCAAGGACTACCTATACACCTTTTGCTGCCAGTGTGCTTGCATTCCCCTGGCCAGGGATATTAATATTTATAATTGGAACTATTCAGAAGAGAAACGGAAAACGTGTGTGACAAAGATAATACATAGGTTGTTGGTATTTAAGTTTGTCTCCTCTTTTGCCAGCCGTACATTGAAGAGATCTGCCAACGTCTGTGTGGGTCTGTCTTCCAGAAGTTCATTGAGAGGTGAGTCCTGAAGAATATAAAATCTTTTTAGAGGTTACATTAAAGTGATGCTATGAACCTTCTTTGATTTTTAGCCAGATAGCTCTGATTTTTTTTCCTGAAGACTTTTTTTTCCTCCAGCATTTAGTTAGCTACCTTTCAAATCCAACTCAGCGTATTTACATGGCCCTCACTGAACTTTTTTACAGTTTTGTTCTGACAATCCCCCTTTAGAAGCTCTCTGTGGAGCTTTTTAAAAGTAATATTTCTGAACATCTTGGAACATCTTGGAAATTCCTCAAGTTAATTGTAGTGCTGTTGGACTACATATTTACTTTGGGTATATAGCAACTTTCCCTTGAGGCTCTTGATATGTCTTGGATTGCTGTCCCATTATCTCCAGGTAGCATGTGTCTGTTGCTTCTTCTTTTGTTTTGAGGTAATCCTTGTTTGAAGAGAGTTGAGGGAGAGAACCCCCAATTAACACTTAGAGACCTTTTCCCAAAGGAGGTTCTTGAGGAATTCCACTAAGATAAGTCTTTAAAAGTAATATGGAGAGCTGAATATTCTTTTTATTCATTGTTGAATAACTGGGACAGGGGTGTTTACAAAAATGCAGTGATATCTTTTAAAGCCTGCAAATCTACATAGGAGTGAGATCCCTTGAACAAAATGAAAGAGCCTTCAGAATAAATATAGATAAAGCCATTCTGTAAATTTTCTGTGTGTGTGTGTATGTGTGTATACATATATACATATTACGTAGAAAGATCTATGTAATACTGTCATATATATTTTTACGTTGTATTTCTTTCCTCTAGCTATCTATCTGAATCTACCTATCCAGCTATCTATATGAACATCGTTTTAGTAAACAGTAAACAAGAACATGGAAAAATCACAAAATGTATAAAACTATGATTACTTTACAATAACTATTAATACAAATCTTACCATATACGATAGTCCTATAGAAGCCTAATATGGTTATAGATCAAGATAAGTAGTTATATCTTTAGAGCCTATTGAAGGTTTACTATGATGGGGTCTCAAAAACATTAGTCATAGTGGGGGCCATCATCCAGAATGCTTTGTGTCATTTAATGTGATGTCAGAGTAGATTCATTGGCATGGATAAAACTGAGATTTTTCATAGCCTATTCTTAATTCAGAGCTTTATAGCCAATATCAACATTTTAGATGTATAATAATACTGGTGTGTTATAGATGTTACTTAACAGTAGAAAAATCACAGTTATAGTGCACTGGTAAAAAGAATTGTTGGCCACCCAGCTGTCTAAATTTTCCAGTTAGCATGTAGTCATAAGAACTGCTTCTCAGTATATGTTTTTTGTTTTTGTTTTTAATAGAGAATGTGACCCAGCAGTTTTATGGACAACCACTTTTGGGCCTTCAACACTCAAAGTGTTTGTCCATAAAACAAATTGCCATTAAATAGGTCTCAGAGGACCTTTGAAGATCCCAATCCTTTTAAATTTGGCTCTATGACAAGAACATCCTTTAATGATTAAAAAGACTATTGGACAACATTATATAAATGCAATAATGGCTGAGATTTCAGTAATAGTACGAAAACCAATTATCCATTTCTTCTATACTGTGTGCACAATTATTAGGCAAGTGAATATTTTGACCATATCATCATTTTCATGCATATTTTCCACCTCCAAGCTGTATAAACTTGAATGCTTAGTGAATATAAGCATATCAGGTGATGTGTATTTGTGTAATGAGGGAGGGTGTGACCTAAGGAGATCAACACCCTATATCAAGGTGTGCATAATTATTAGACAGCTTCTTTTCCTCAGGCAAAATGGGCCAAAAAAGAGATTTAACTCACTCTGAAAAGTCAAACATTGTAATAAGTCTTTCAGAGGAATGTAGCACTCTTGAAATTGCTAAGATATTGGGGCGTCACAGTACCATCAAAGGTTTTGTTGCAAATAGTCAACGGGGTGACAAGAAACGTGTTGAGAAAAAGATGCACATTAACGGCCAAAGATTTGAGAAGAATCAAACATGAAACCACCAGGAACCCATTATCCTCCAGTGCTGTCATAATCCTGAACTTCAACATACCTGGAGTACTCAGAAGTACAAGGTGTTCAGAGACATGGCCAATGTAAGGAAGGCTGAAACCCGACCACTACTGAACAAGATATATAAGTTGAAACGGCAAGACTGGGCTAAGAAATATCTGAAGACAGATTTTTCAAAGGTTTTATGGACTGTTGATATCAGAGTAACTTTTGACGGACCAGATGGATGGGCCTGTGGCTGGATCAGTAACGGGCACAGAGGTCCACTTTGATTCAGACACCAGCAAGGTGGTGAAGTTAGAGTTAGTTGGACCTTTTCGGTTGAAGATGGACTGAAACTCAGTTCCCAAACCTACTGCCAGTTTTTAGAAGACACTTTCTTCAAGCAGTGGTACAGGAAAAAGTCTCCATCTTTCAAGAAGATCATGATTTTTATGCAGGACAATGCTCCTTGCAGGCATCGAAGTACTCCACTGTGTGGCTAGCCAGTAAAGACCTTAAAGATGAAAGAATAATGACATGGCTCCCTTCCTCACCTGACCTAAACCCTATTGAGAAATTGTGGGCCCTTCTTAAATGAGAGATTTATATCTCTCTAAACAATGTCTGGAAGGCTGTGGTTGCTGCTGCACAAAATGTTGATCGTCAACAGATCAAGAAACTGACAAGACTCCATGAATGGAAGGCTTATGTCTTTATTGAAAAGAAGAGTGCCTATATTGGTCACGGATTTTTTTTTAAATGTCAGAAATGCTTATTTGTACAGTTTGAGTTGCTTGTTTATTATTCTCACTTTAACAGATACAAATAAATGAGTGAGATGGGCAAATTTGCATTTCTCATTTAGTTCTATAATAATTCTGCACACTAATAGTTGCCCAATAATTGTGCACACATAAATATTCTCCTAAGAAAGCCAAAATCTCACTTTTACTTTCTTAGATATTCAGGTTTGAGGTTTATTAACATTTTGGATTGACTAAGAGCACTGTGGTTGTTCAGTACAAGAATTAGCCCTCCAAAATACAACTTGCCTAATACTGGTGCACAACAGTGTATTTTCTGTTTGGATTTTTTCAAGTCTCCTGATAGTCACATTCTAATTACGTGACATTTCATTTATTTTAAATTTTAGTCATTTTTCTTTATTCGTGTCAGAAGCACCTTCAAATGTAGACATAAAACGTTCAATACTGAGCAGGTAAAACAAGTATAAAATAGGTCACAGAGATATAGCACATATAAAAAGTATGTAAAATAGATAGGATTAAAACTAATGACATTCGCCCAGTATCGCGCTACATGGGCAACATTTTCTCTCACCAGCATGAGGCCTTCCTCTGTATAAGTTGAAGAACATTGTATGCATTGTAGCATATTGAGGTGGATTGTTCTCCACATTCACCCAATGTGGTGGTGGTGGTGATGGGGGGACATGAAAGGAGCCTTGCCGAAGTTTGCATTGTTTTGGCAATCAGGCGCCCTCTGGCCAACGTTGTTGTCACCGGCAAATACTTTCAATTCAGAAGCACTCTACAGTCTGAGAATTTTAGCATAATTTTCTCCCCATAGATCACTTCTTCCTAATCATTACAAAAGTTCAAGATATAAGGTGTTTCTATCACAGATCTTGGGAGAGTTATAATTTGAGACATGAACACGTTTGACATGGTAGTCATGCCATCTTGGGCTGCACTTAACAGCAACGGTGTCTTAGTTTGAATGTTAACCTTTCCCTCGAGCCTTGAGCCCTGTACTCAAAACCACCTCCTTCAGCCTAGACAAGGAGGCAAGTAGGATAATGCAGGCAGTCAAAATTGACTGAGTGTTAGACTGATCAAAGAGAGAGTCTATAGACCAAGACTATCTCCACCGCTTAAGTTGCTATATACAAGATAGTCAGATAGACATATTTGGAAGAGGTAAATATCTCCCCCTTCGTCCAGTTAGATTTTAGTGATGTGAGCCATGTTGACATGCTGTTCCATAATTTGATATGATGATAATTTCCCATTAACCAATCTAGCATACGTTAACTGCACCTATATACTAAAGGTAAGCATCCAAGTTCACTTAGCTGTGGGGAAATGGCATTAGGATGTCTGAATTACTGCCTTTTTAGCTCCCATTGCTACAATGCCCTCTGGTTGTACTGCCTTTATAACGCCTCCCATGTTCTTTCATTGCTGGTCTACTGGAATGGAAATCTTGTAAATAGAGATTTTAGCTAAAGGATCCTCTGACATAAGGATGCACTGATTGGGGACTGAGGTCAACTGCAAGAGAAATGGTTTGTGAGTGTTTGTGAATTCTGTCCTTTATTCTGTTTTAGTGACAAATTCACACGCTTCTGCCAGTGGAAGAATGTGGAGCTGAACATCCATGTAAGTGTCTAGTATTGGGAGGGCATTTTTGAGATTGTGATAAAACTATCATGAGACACTAAGCATAGAGCTGCCAGTGGTCACTTTATTGTAGCATGCAGAATTTACAGGATTTGCAAAGCAATCGTAATGCAGTGAGAGAGGAGATCCCATCCCTAAAAAGCTCATTATGGTAGCTAAAAAAAATATATTGATGTCTGTTATTCATTTGGTAAATGAACTAGATAACTGTGAGTGTTAGAGAAATGAATCCAGTGTCATGCTCAATATCTTAAAAAAGGAACAGAAAATATTTTGCTTTGGAGATGTTGAACTTATAACTTCCACTGTTGTTGATAATGCTGGCATCTATCAACATCTCAGAAGTTACAAGCTATCAGTTTCTATTTGAAGATCTGAGTTTAGCATACACAGTGACCCCTCTTTTAAATCTAAAGACTCACAAGCAATGGTGACCAAAATGAGGGGAAGTATGTGTTGAAAGTAATTGAAATCCAGTGACAATTAGCCTACAGTTATGAATGCGCTTGGATAGCACTGTGAAAACAAGATCATGCACACTTCAGGTTAACATATTCTTGGTTTGCTTTCTCTTCTCTTATTTTTTTTTAAAAAATGCCGTTTCATGGGATCTAGCTGACCATGAATGACTTCAGTGTCCATAGGATCATCGGACGCGGTGGATTTGGAGAGGTCTACGGCTGCCGGAAAGCAGACACGGGCAAAATGTAATATATGGGATTGTCTTGTCATGCTGTGGTGAGAATTGTAGGAGAGCAAGTCAAGAATGAGGTTCAGCTTCAGTAACTGGCAGTTCCCAATTCCTTTTTGATGTAATAATTTAATTGTTGCAAGCTATCTATGCAGAGCATCACTTTGTGTAAAAAAATATTCCTGTCTGAATCTTACAACTGGGGAAAGTTATGAGGTGGGCCCTCAAGTAGCTCGGGCCTGCTACTCCCCACAGGTTGCCCTGAAGACATGAGCCTTTGCTTGACCCCGGAGGCAAGTAAGCTTCCTAATGCTTTTTTCCAGTTTGCTTTTATTTTCCAGATAGACAGAATATTTTCAGCACCAACTCAAGTTTTTCAAGATATAGATCAGGGGTAGTCAACCTTGGCTCTTTTATGGCTCGTGGACTTCAACTCCCAGAATTCCTGAGCCAGCTGTGCTGGCTCAGGAATTCTGGGAGTTGAAGTCCACGAGTCATAAAAGAGCCAAGGTTGACTACCCCTGATATAGATGAACTGCTGAAACAGAGCAGAAAATCCATATATACAGTCAGTATCTTGGATTTTATTATAAAATATTTTATTCAGTTCTAGAACAAACCATTGCAATCCCGCAATCATTTTGGAGCAGCAGAAGTGAAACCCATTTATTCCGGTTTTCAAATGAAGCAAAATATAGAGAAATCCCTGCAGGATTTTTTGGAGCGAGTAGGGCAAGAGTGCTACTATACATCTTACTCCTCTCTCCTCAGCAGCTCCCAGTGCAGCTCATTCCACCGGCCTGCTCATTTGCTGCCCCTCTCCCAGCTCCCCAGCATCTTCCCGCTCTCATTGCCAGTCTCCTTGGCTTAATTCCCCAAACCACGTCTGCTGCCGACAACTGCATTTTGGGCCATATCTAGAACAAAACAGCTTCATTTTGGTCTGTAGTAACAAACCTCCAAAACCCATGTTTCACATTAGAGGGGGACCAGCTGTTCTATGCACATCTCTTACAGTTAAAATGAAGACAAGCAGCAGAACCATTTGAACAAGATGCAAAATAAGAATAACAAAAATATCCAGACAGATTCAGATGGAGATCTTTCAGGCATTTCCCTCCCGCCCCCGCCCCCAAGGTTATGCTTCTCATCCATTAGCCACCCAATACTTCCTTTCAAGTTGAACGACCACAAAGAGAATTCTGCAGGATAAGAGCAATGTGCTGGTCCCAAATATAAACATGCATATTGCTAGCTTTAAGGTGAACAATAATTGCCTTTTGTTATATTGGCTTGCAGGACCCGAGGAGGTGTTTTGCCTTCTCACAATAACTTTTGCCTTGTTTATCTCTCAGTCTACTGCAATGCACTCTCTGCGGTACGGTCTTTGAAGATGCCTCAGAAATTACAGTTGATCCAGAAGGCAGCAACTTAATTAAAGGCACATCCCAATCTGCCCGTTTTTGGTGAAATCCATATGGCCCCAGCCCTCCAGGGTTTTGCAGCAGGCTTTGGGCAGATACGTCACGATGGCTGTGATTCCTTATAGTTGGATTTTACTAAAAATGATTTCTTTCTATTGTTCCTCAGTGGTAAAAGAGTAAATTGATGATGTAAATGTATGCAATAGCATATGTAAACGGCTCAGTGTCTAAGGAAGCATAAGTGTCACTAATTTAAGAATATTCCAGCTTCCTTTAAAACCTTTACATGTTCTCTACAATGTATCCCTTGTGGACTGGATCATGTGCTTCCTTATTGCTGCCTTGGAAAATGTCCCTCCTCTAAACAAGTTAATTCAGTTATTGTCCTGCCAGGCCAAATATAAGGCAGAAAGAAACGGACTGCTTTCCCTCCCTTCCACATCCTGAGCGTGAGCCAGCAGGAAAATTACCAAAGCGTTTTCCAATTGCTGGCAAGCTGGACAGTTATTGTTTAGGGTTGTTATGGAGATAAAAGGAAAGCTTGGAAAACATAGGATAATGTAGGGGCATCTGTGATCAGGGAGAATGTGTTTTCATTCTAAATGTCTGAAGTTCCTAAAGGGGAGGACAAGATTCCCTTCAGAAAGAGGATATTATGAGCTTCATCGGAAGAAGTACCGTCACAGGATTATGTTTTGGAGGGACATCTGCGGGGATGATTTCAGGGATAGGAGCATCATCAGACACTTTTGGCAAAAATTGAACACATTGATCCTTCAGTTTCTGACCTCTTCTGTTTCTTGATAGGTACGCCATGAAGTGTCTAGATAAGAAGCGTATTAAGATGAAGCAGGGGGAGACATTGGCCCTGAATGAACGCATCATGCTGTCTCTTGTCAGCACTGGGGTGAGCTTGGCTACTCTTGTGAGGAATTGGGAGAAGCGGAAAGAATGCCCAAGCTCTGAATCTACATCATACGAGTTTTTGGTGGGCAGAAGGAGAAATCTAAAAACATTCAAGTGACAGTTTGGGGACTTGAAGTCAAAGCTGGCATGGGTGAGGTAGATATTTTGCTGAACCCATCTGTCGTGGAGATGGAAGAAGATGTGTAAAGGAGGTAGTGTTGATTTGTTGATGCTGGGAGTGTAACCTAGCAGCAAAGATGGTATGCAAGTATGCCACAACGTTTATGCCAGAAAGAATAAGAGGTGCCGTGCAGCATGTCTGAAAGTTAGAGGAGAGTACGTGTTGTGTATGGAGTATGCTGAAGAGAGAAAGAAGGGCAGGAAGGATTCTTTGCATGTAAGAAAAACAAGAGGAGAATACCTACAAGTGTTTACAGGATGGGGTTGTGGGAAAGCAAGCAAGGTTACAATGTATTGTGTAGGTATTGGTGCAGGCACACTGCAGAAATTGTGGCATATAGGGTCAAATACAATAGCTAGCACTAGTTTGTGAGGCCGGAAACTGAGTGGTTTATTACACAATTTGTTGTCACAAGATTGTAAGAAGCAAGCGTAAGTGTGTGCAGTTGAATGAGTTGGGTAATAAGTGTGAACACAGGATGTATTAGATTATAGAATGTACGGCAAAGATGCCAGAGGCAAACTGCGTGAGAGTGTGAGCTGAAATGTATCAATATATGCGCATGCATGCAGTTTCTTTGTTGTTGTTTTCTGTTGTAACTTTGTTCTTTGGATCCCTGCCAGGATTGCCCCTTCATCGTGTGTATGTCATATGCCTTCCAAACACCCGACAAGCTCAGCTTCATCCTGGACCTCATGAATGGTGAGAGCCAGGATCCTGCCTCTAAGAGCCCTTCCTTCTCTGCCATCCTCATGTGCTTTCCTAAAGGACTCCTCCACCCCCGGCTGTGTCTTGTTCCATCACATAGTTCTTTGCTTTCCTCCTTGCAGGGGGTGATCTACATTATCATCTTTCCCAGCATGGGGTCTTCTCGGAGACAGAGATGCGTTTCTATGCAGCAGAGATCATCCTGGGTCTGGAACATATGCACAATCGCTTTGTGGTTTATCGTGACCTCAAGGTGAGAACATCCACCTCTTCTAACCAAGCCCATTCCTGTATAATAGACCAGCAGAGCCACCATCACCATGACTGGCTTTATTTCACAAAGGGAGTAGATTGCTGGTATTCAGTGGTGAGGCTTCAATATCTCATTCCTCTCTGCAGATGAAAGGTAGTTTTCTCAGTGCATTCGGATTTCTTCCATCTCCTATCTAGGAGCCAACATGATGTGGCTGAGAGATTTGTGATCAGAGAACACTAAAATCAAGCTCTGATGTCTCCTTTAGAAAATGGATTCTAAAATCTTAATGTTCCCTAGTACCTCACATTCCTTTTCTAAATATTTTGGAATTATTAAAATATTGACATCCACTCTTTGAATCAGAATCACTGCTTCATATAAAGTAGGATGGGATCGTGTTTTGTTGCTTGTTTTGTATATTATAACTTGATTGTGCTCCTCTGTAAGCTTAATCTATCCACCGTGGGAGCTGAATTCATCATTTGGAAAATGCTTCTTCAGTTCTCCTGCAGAGATTTACCTTTATTTGGTTGATTCCAAAGGGCTGGGGCAGAGGCTCAGGTCACAGCATGAGGGAGGAGAGTTTCAATAGTCTGGCCTCGCTTGCCCTCTTTCATCACCATTTCCACAGCAGCACTCTGGAGTCCAAGAAATAAAAAACCACTTATTTTGTTAAATGGTGCTCTATCCCTACAGCCAGCCAACATCTTGCTAGATGAATTTGGCCATGTCCGCATCTCAGATTTGGGACTCGCCTGTGACTTCTCCAAGAAGAAGCCTCATGCCAGTGTGTGAGTATCTGAAATAAATCTCCTTTTTTGCCCAGAAACACTAGATACAACTAATTTTATAACAGAAATAAATATGGGAGCATGCTTCCATTCCCAACCCCCTTGATTCCTCAACTTCCTTAGTTATTGTGCCCTTCAGATGCCTTAGATTTAAGTGCCCTTCACTCTCATTAGTGGGTTAGTTAGGGTTAGTTCAAACTGGAACTATCTGGAAAACCTGAAACATTTTGCCTCACTTCCCCAAAATCAATTTATAGATCATACTTAATCTGTAATAGGGAATAATATAATTCCAAGATGCTTCTAGCTGAACCTGTCTATCTTTTATACATGAACTGTGCATAATGGCTATGTATATATAAACTAACAACATGGATCAACATATCACAACATTCCAATCTCCTAATTGCATACTTGGAGTCTGCCATTTGCATTTTCTGCTCATAAATGGTCAGGTAAAAGGATATTCTCAGGGCGTTGGTTATTAAAACCTACACAAGTAATTATACATTTTGGTATTGGTATATGAGGAGTTTTTGCAGATTATCCAGTTGAAACCACTTCCATTGAGAATGTATTGAAACACACTCCCACATACCATATTTACAATTTTAAAGTGTGATGCAAGGAGGAATTAGTAATTGCTTCCATTTACAAACCGATAAAAAAAAAGTGCAGTGCAAATCTCTGATGGAAAAGAAGAATAAATTCTCTTTTCTTTTGATACATCCTGCTAAGGATCTTTAGCCTGATGCTCCGCTTCTTTTAATTCTTGGTTTGATCCTCTCTACAGTGGCACACATGGGTACATGGCACCAGAGGTTTTGCAGAAAGGCGTGGCCTATGATAGCAGTGCCGATTGGTTCTCTTTAGGCTGCATGCTCTTCAAGCTTCTGAGGGGGTAAGTGCCGAATAGGCTGAGAAAGTGCAGTATGTGGAAACATAATCAC